AGCAGCTTGGTCACCCAGCCCTCTCAGGGTGCCTGCAGATCTAACTGGATGGCTTATTTACCCTGACACCTCACCCAGCCACACCATTGCTCCCTACCCTTTCCTTCTGACCAAGTACTCTGCATATATTTAAAGGTAATTGTTAGTAAGGATCCAAAAGTTAAGCTCCTCCAGGGAAAACAATCCTGCCTTCTCCGGCTCCCTCTGCGGGCACCCTGTGTGCCTTTGGTTACCCTGAGCTGGCTCGGTGGCATTTCAGCAGGCGCCTGACCCCGGCTGAACATAACGGAACGGTGAGCTCAGAGCTCAGAAATGATCTACTTCTTGTTTACGTGACCCAGGATCCCAACTTAGTCTGGGGACAGGTTTGTGCTAATCATTATGATCACATTTGGCTCAGATAGAAAAATACCAAGTTTTAAAAGGGGTGGGTGGCAGAAAGAAGGAGATGCAATTTCAGCTTTAAAACATTTACGGTACAGAGGCTCCGACACCATCTGATGATCAGCAAGCACCTCTGCGGACATAAACACCTTGTGAACCCCGCGTGGCCCCATTTCACTGTGTCACGAGGACAAGTTCCGTGGCATTTTCCTCCCGTCTGTTTGGCTTGGTCCCTTGGAGATGAGGCATCTCACTAACACGCGGTCGGTAAGGACTGAGCAGACGAGGGACAGCAGCTGTTCCTGGCAGCATCTTGGGAGGAAACGGCTGGAGCATTTCTTTCCTTTCTTCTTTCTTCTACCCTTTTTCCCTTGCCTCGGTTTCCACTTTTCCACTCCCCTTTCTCTTCTCCTTTGCATATGCCTCTGGCTGTCCCATCCCACCCCTCACTTGCCTAGACATGGGCAGGTAAGGAGACAAGAAGAACAGAGCATTGTACAGAAAGGGGGGGCACAGGGGTGCCCTCTCTGAGTCAGAAAGGAAAGAGGGGACACATCTCAACGCTCCGCAGGCCAGGCTGGTTCCCTAGGAGGCGCTCATTATTTTCAATTGGGTGTTCATGCCTTGAAAAGCCGTATTTTCCCATACAATCTTATCTCATAAAGAGAACTTAGCATTTCATAGCTGCGCCCATGTTCCTGGCCTGGGGTGAGCGACGTCCTAAGTCGCACAGGGCAAGTGACAAACCAGCCCACACCTGGAGTTCTGTTCCCAGCCCTGCCCATGTGGATGTGACAGGAAGCGGAGTCCAAGAATGCTCAACAAGAGATGATCACCACAGGTCAGTTACTCATCTCTCTGACCTTTAAGAAAAAAATGAAATGAAATGCACTTGAATGGGATCCCAGATCCTCACCTGTTTGGCCAGAATCCTCGCAGTGAGCCTCACGGTCTCTGAGGGATTCCAGTTTTCCCCAAAAACAACCATGGGAGAACATTCCAGCTTGTGCATGGGCCAGTCTTCCTTCTGGGAAGGTTAAAAAAAATAAAAGATTAAACACACAGGCACTGGAATGAAGTTCATGAGGATGCAACAAGTCCTCCTGGCTGAGGTCAAGGGAAATATGTTTCCTTTTGGAAAATGGGGCGATGCTCACAACAGGCAGACATGAAAATACCCTTTAAGGTGGATATGGTCTTGTAACCTTGACTCAGGCCTGGCCAAGGCTGCCAGGACGGGAAGATTCGCTTTGTGTTTTTTTCACGAAGCGTCTCGTGTCTTTCTGCAGCCTCTCATTACTCCAGACGACATGTCCACCTCTCTACTATCTGTGAAGGTTGTCAAAACGCAGGGATGAGGGCCCTGGGCCTGAGGCCCTGATGTGGCTCAGCTGCCCTGCAGCTCTGCTCTGGCTCTGGCCTCCCGCCGGGGCACATAACCGGGCTTGATGTGCACAGCAACCAGTCCCCTCTGCTAGGTGACAAAACAGAATACGGGTGAGGGCTTCATGAGGGGCCCTCGGGAGGCTGGTGACAGCTCCTACTGGGAATATTTAGGCGTAAAGGCTTCCTGAAGATGCAGTGGGAAGCTGTACTCCTTTCTCGCCCAGGTCTTGGAGCTGTATGCCCCAGGCCGAGGGCAGAGGACACGTGTTCAGTATGGAAAGGGTGGCGATGCCATGGAGTCTGGGAGGCTGAGGGGGGACAGGACACAAGGGGCTGTGGAGACCACGGAAGAGAGTAAGGAGTGGGGAGGAAGTGACCGTGACAGCTGGTGACACGGTTAGTGTGGGATGGCCGAGAACTGGGCACCATGGAGGCCAGGGCCGAGTCTGATAAAAACCAGGTGTGGCATCGTGAGGGGAGGGCAGGCTGCTGACAGTGGATGAGAGACGGGTGGGGGAGGAAGGAGGCCTGGGAGCTGGGAGAAATGGAGTGAAGGCTTAGAGGGTGAAGGGGGGAGGGGGTCACTTTTATTTGGGAAACGTCAGAGCCCGTTAGTATGCTGATGGGAGTCTTCAGACACCCGTCCTCACAGTGGCACTGGGTGCTGTCCCCTCTTCCCCCAGCCTGTCCTCCTCAGGGAACGGCCAGTCCATTCTTTCAAATGCTCGGGCCAGAAACCTGGAGCCCTCCTGGTCTCCCTCACACCCCACACTCAACTCTCTGTCCAGTCCATCATCTCTGCTTTCAGAACACACCTAGGATCTGACCGCTTCTTACCACCCACCTTTCCAGCCCGTGGCAGCCCTGGCACCTCTCACCTCTCACGGCCCCTGCCTTCGACCGGATGCCTGCTCTGCCCTTGACCCTCACCGACTGGGATCAACAGGGCAGCCAGAGTCATCAGTCTGTTAAACAAAACTCAGATCACCCCATACCTCAGCTCAGAACCTTCTGATGTCTCAGGTGACCTGTGCAGCCACTCACGAAGGGCGTCATTCCCACTCCCCCCACCGGCCCCTGACGGCGTCGGCCACATGCTCTCCTACGTTGTCCCTTGAACAAACCGAGCACGCTCCTGCCTCAGGACCTTTCGCACATGCTGTATCTCCTGGCTGGAACCTTCTCCTCGATGTCCACATCACCCCCACCCTCACTCCTCCAGGTCTCTGCTCCAATCACCTATTCGAGGCACCTGCCATGAGCACCCTACCAAAAAGAGCCCCTTCCCCATCGCTCCCCTTTCCTTGCTTTTTTATGTTTCTTCTTAGTACCTCTCACCACCTGATATATTACATGTTCATTAGCTGTTCCGGCTTAGTGCTCCCCCCACCCCGTTAATATAAAGGAACTTCATCTGGTCTGTTCACACCTCTAAGCCCAGCACCTAGAACAGCGCCTGACTTCTACTGGGCACTCAGTATTAAGTTGCTGAATGAGTGACGATGTCTCCCTACCCCCTTCCCTCCACCTTTTCCCAAGAAGGAAGGACACGGTGTTACTGAATGATTTAGTGCGGTATGTGACACAAACCCTCGGCTCAAGTTCTGTGCCAAGACGTGCTGCAGAGTTAAATAACGCCATGCCGAATATAACTGAGAGCAGGGAGAGGAAGAAATGACAAGGTTTCACAAGGGAGGAGGGGATCTGCTCTTAGCCAAAGCCTAAAATAGGAGCACAGTGATGAGGTAACCAGGTAGGAATGGGTAGGTCCAGCTCCCTGAAGACAAACCAGCTCCCTTCCCCGATGCAAAGCAAAAAGAGAAAGACAGAGGGCTTCAGGGCTTCAAGGGTACTCAGGAAAATGGGGAACATCAGCTGGGGACAGATGCATAATTAAAAACTGGGAACAAGTGTCCACTATGACCCTAGGAACTCTTAAGAAAAGGCCTCTCCAGGGCCTGTAAGATGTTGGTTTTCTGAACTGTGGATGGTGTGTCTGGTGTTTAACAACAATATGCTCCTGGGAGAAAGAAGTTTAATATTAACATTTCTTAATATGATTTGTTCATTATTTATTAATATACTTAATACAAAATTAATGTCACTATAAATAACACACAATGTTGACATTTACTGATGTAAATGTCCTCAAAGGGAAGGGAACCGAACTACAGGGCAGGCTGTGGGGGGAGGAAGGGAGCCGAGTGCTGCCAGGGAGGACTTGGTCTGGAGCTCAGGAAACCTGCATTCTTAACGCAGCTATGTGACCCCAGCAGCTCTCTTAATCCCTTTGCATTCATATCCTTGGCTGTAAATAACATGATCCCTAAGTTACTTAGCAGGTCCAGAATTCTGAGTCTATGATTTTACACCTTCCAACAGTGATAATCAGATACAAAGCTTGAAGACTACCAAGAAATACAGGACCTTCCAAGGATAATCAGGCATTCATGTCACCACAAAGGGACAGGTGAGGGTCCAATCAGCTCACCCACAGGAAGCTGTTCAGGACAGTGCCCGGCACACGGTGCCCTCGCAGCAGACTGTGGTAATTGTCCATGTCCATGTTCATTCATTCATTCATTCATTCATTCAATGAGCTCTGCACTGACCCTAGAGGCAGGGGTGGGAGAGGAAGTCTTTGACTTTACGTAGTGTACACCTTTATCAGAACACAAGGTTTAAAAGCAAGAGCGCCCGTACATCATACAGTCCCACACAGCAGTTAAAGCAGAGAGCTGGATATCTTTGGGGAAGTGCAGAATCACAGAAGTTTCACCAAGGGAAATGTCTCAGAATAATAATGTTTCCCTTTTTGTTGGAAGGTGATGGTCCACATTATCTTAGAGAACCTGACAGAGGCAATTACCCCTAGTTTTGCACATAAGATATTATAAACAATCAGACTGGGCAAAATTGGGAAAAATTAGGCTAGCCTTTTACTAATTTTATTTTTTAGTATTAGCAGTTTCTTTGCCCACAGAGTCCCCTTCGCTAACTCCTGCATTTGGTGCCTCTCTAGTTCTCACGGCGCCTTCAAGACAGACACAGGCCACTTGTACACACGTATGTGTGCTTTCCTAAAAGGTGGACTAGTAAGGAAGTGTCACACAGTTTCTGCTTCCCGCGGCCACCACATTCGAGAGGAAGAGAGCAGACGGAAGCAGGTGCGCACTGCCCACCTCAGGGAAGGTGACCGAGGATGACCTACGCTGCTGAGCCCCCGCCCCAAGGGCACACGCTCTGGTCTGTGTTCCCCGTAATGGAGTGATGGGGTGCAGCCCTCGGTACACAGGTTTTCCTACTGTAGAACATGTACAAGAGGTTTCTAAACATTATTTTAAAAAACGAGTGGCTCAGTTTAAGACGCTGTATCTGCAAGGCCGAAGCGAATTTAACCATGAGTGAACCTCTGGCTCCGGCCCCATTCGCTAGCCGCCCAGAACCACGGCAGGTCATGGGAACATTTCTAAGACATTTCTTCACTTCAGGCTTTTCCAGTTCATAAAAATCAAGGACGTCCTCATATCTTTAGCCATATGCTCCTCACATGTGTTTTTGTTTTGTTTTTTAATCCCAGCCAGGGCATGCCCCTTCTTACTTTCAAAAGCACTTACAACCCCATCACCTCTACCTATAAAACACAAACAGCTTTTTTCTACTTGTTAATGTTAAGAAATAACACCCTAGAAAGTTCTACTCCCCAATGATTCCTCTAAAACCATTAACTTTCTAAAACTATTCTCTAAGTCATGGTGCAATTTAATGAAGTCTGAGTGAGGGAATAATACACCGAGCTTTCCAGGCATATTTATAAAAATAAATAGAGTTCATTAAAACACACAGGTTCCAAAACAAGCCTAACTAAAAAGGAGCTTCTATTTCTTTTGTATCTCCTCCCATTACCCTTTTATGCATCGTCAATTAAAATCTTTCCTCTGGCAGGATCACACCGAGCCAAGTCAATCAAGAGAAAGTAAATGGGACAAGACAGAGCCAAACTGTATAAAATACAGCAAAATCCTAACACACTGAGGTTACTGAGGAGGGTCTGGGGAGAGTGAACACAGTGACTGGGACCCCCTAAGACACCGCATTCCCTGGAAAGAGGAAA